AGTATGCGTCTGCCTTTGTCATTAACACTGGGAGCACTACTCAGTGGCAGGCCGACTTAGCCCCAAAATAAATGGCCGCCTCTGACATGAGGAACAGACACCATGTGCAGCCGCTCCTAACACGGAGTACAAACGCTGCCCCTTGAAGGGGAATTAATTACTAGAATGGAGTACAGCAGGTGTCGCTGAAACATGGGAATTAAATAAATCACTGGTTGATGTGGATTTTTCTGAATCAACTTCCAACCAACAAAGGATCGTTGGTATTTGCTACTGTTAATGGTTCACAGACAGATTATGACACCAGGACTCACCTGTTGTAAGGATAGGGAGCATCCCTCCTGTTGCCATAGGCCGGATGAGACCAAGGAGGAGGGATGGGTGGATATCTGGGATTGCCAGTTCTCCTGTGCCAGTATTCACCACCATCTGGCTGGTCCCACCCTTGTTGATATGGATAGTCCCATGTCCGTTGATCCGGATATTCCCACCCATCCGACTGGTGCCATCCCCTATCCATTTGGTCCCATTCATCCTGCTGCCAGGGTGCTGTCCTGTTGTTGTGGGGAGGTTCTTGGTTCTCCTCAACACCTTCCTTGTTGATGACATCTACCTCGGGGCTGGACACCACGGGTCAGTCTACAAGTGACAAAGGAAATAAAATGATGCCTAACTATTGATTTTTTTTTTTTTTGCTTATCCCTAGTACACGTGGTACAGGCCATGATAATCATGGTGGGTAGTTAGCGACTGCTTTTACTGTAAGCGCACCACATGTCTACACATGTGAAAAGCAGTTCGACTTTGCACTTACAAATGCCAGAGCCCCGTTTGGTTACTTGCACTCGCTGGTGGGGTTGGACTTTTGCAAGAATTGGGGGCCATTGGAGCATTTTTTTTTTTTAAACAGAAAAAAGTGTCCAATGCGGGAATCGAACCCGGGTCCTAGTGGTCGAAAACCAAACGGTTTAACCAGCCTTCCACCGACCCCTAACTATTGATAGCTGTATATGTTATGCTGTTAGCATCCATCAACTTTTGGTGACTCTGTGGACAAATATTGTCCAATTTGATATGTTAGTGAACATCACTCTCATCCAGTGACCTTCTGGTAGTTTTCTTGATCCCTTCTAGCCAGTTCATTGCAGGTCTTCCTCTCTACCTTCAATTTTTACCAACAACTTTTCTAAACCATTTTCCCACATTATATGTCAGAAGTAGGTCAGTCTGTATATAGATAGGGCCATTTAAAAAGTTTGCATATTACAAAATATTGTGGCAAGGCACATTCTCCCGGTAAATGAGAAAAAATAACAAGAAAATAAATGAAAAAAAAAAAAAAAAACATGATAAAAAAACCAAATCTAAATAAATAAAGGTGTGTGACATTTCAGTAACAGTGTTGTTACCATCGGTATATGGTAACAATGTTGTCTTACTGAAATGTCACGCTGATGAGGGAAACAACACTGTTACCGAAGCGTCACACACTATGTGTTTCTAATCTATAATCCAAATTGTACCTTATCAGATGACAATAAAACAATACTTCACACAATAGATGGAAACTATCACTTGGGACCAAGATTTCTAGGTTGTTTTAACACACTTGAGGATGTTATATCCAAGTTGCTAAGGAGCTTAGAATGTCAGAAAATATAAATTGAAGGTTATATTGAGACACAGTAATACACTCTTGGACAAAACTTGAGAAAATGGGAAGTTCTTGATGTTGGCATTTGTCTTCTTTTTAAGGAGACAAAGGCTATTTTGTTCACACTTGGTTATTTCTAATCTATAATTTAAATTGTACCTCATCATTAATGAGTTAAATCCCGTGTAAGACTTAGATTCTCATGTGGGTCCAAAAAAAGGTTTGAGTTTGGAAACCAATCTGAAAATAAGGCCAATCATATTTAAGATTATTGGGTTTAAAACTAACGTGCTTTTTTTTTTTTGTCAATTTTCAAGTTCAACATGTAACAAAAACAATGATATAACCTTTCAGAAATATTTGTTCTACTTGGATATAATATAAAAATAAACATGAAAGTGTGTGTTTGTTCCACATAGCTTATTTTGCAATAAACACATGGTTGTTTCTTATCCCCTTGTGTAAAGATTACACGAATTCCATGAGTTCATGCTCCTCGAGCTGTTTTATGATGAGCAGCGGCCTCTCCCAAAGGTCATATAAACACATGGTAATATGACCAAGTTCTATTTTTTATTATCCCACAATGTATAGTTATACAAGGTCACGGTGACTGAATTCATGGATTAAATTTACAATCTTGGTAATGCTGGAATATAGGTCCTGTCTTGGGCTCTCATACCTTCCGAGAGGTGGCCCGGCGAGTCCTCTTTCGTCTTGCAGATGGTGCCTTGCGTCTTGACACCATCCTGGAAAAGAAGCAGCCTTGTATGGCCAGTTTTGAGACTGGTAATACAGGTTTCTGCCTATTTGTCCATCCCACATTCCAGAATAGCTCAAGGCTTTTGGTTTAGATACCAATGATGGAATGTTGACTCCTGTATTTTAGCTTGTTTCTTTTTATATGTATTTGAAAGAGTCAAAATCAAGGTCTGAGTTAGGCATTGCTGCTGATTTTTCCAGCACAAATCAGCTGTGTCCTTCAGTCCTATTTGGGATGGGATCTACTGGAAGGTTATTTGTGTGTCTTTGTGAAGTTTATCTAAATTCAGAGCAATTTTCCTCAGGGACATTTTAGAGGTATTGTAACAATAGCTTGTATAGCTGACAGAGAGTCTGTGAAGAAGACAAGTTTATGTGGGTCTTCCTATCAATGTGTTCTAGAGCTAGGTTGATAGCTTCCAGTTCAGCATTTAACACAGAGCTCCCAAATTTTTTTGATGGCCTTGAGTTCCAGACTTTGGTTTCTGTCCTGTACACCACTCCCATCTAACAGTCGAGCAGTGTAAATTTTTATAAAGTTTGTTCCATATTAATTTATCCTTTCAAGTGCTAGGGACTTGAGTATATGTGGGTTTTCATTTTTCTTGCCAAGTTGATTTCCTAGCTCTAGATTAAAGATTATTTCCTTGCGCAGAGATTTGGTGGGAAGAATGGGTGATTTGTAGTTTTGTTTAGTAGATTTATTGGGACTTTAAATTTTCCAGAATTGTGTGCTTTGTGAATTCATTGGGACAAAAGCAAATAAATTTAGAAAAGGCTATATAAAATTTTTATTTTAAAAAATCCTTAAAAAAAAATCTTTTATGGTTATTTACTTTTTTAGGCTAGAACTCTATTTATCAATACTTTTAAATGAATAATCTTCAAAAGGTATGTTTTATCTCTTCTGTATGTTATTTTATTAATATGTATTATTTTTTCGAATAGCTCTCTCAAAGAAACTTCATTGTTTACGGCGGTTCGTGACATCGCTATTGATAGTTGCGATGCATTTAACACTTTTAAACATGCCACGCAATACACTAACTACAGCCACTGTGCCCAGGGTGTAAAAGTATTGTATTTTAAACAATAATTATCTAATGTTATCTCAAAATTTGATTTTAAAAATGGATTGAATTATCTATGGTATCAAATTACCATTTGTTATTTGATAGGCTGGTGGAAGTCAAGGGAAAGAAAACAGGGTCAAATTATCGGGTGTCATATTAATGAAGTTATACTATATAACAATGGAAATTTTGCCGGGAGGATATTGATCTAAAGAGACAAAGGTCGCCTCTCCCGTCAAAATAGACGTCAAAACTAGACGCCATCTATATAACAATATGTGTGAAAAAAAGGTCAGATGTTGATATTAAAAACAAAATTGACATATCCTGACCACTCACATGACCATTTTACATGGCAGAGCGCCATTCCTTGATTTCTCAGGTGGCCTTTAGGACCAAATTTTTGGTCCTAGAGGTATATGGGGCACCATACTGGCGAGGGCCCACAGCTGGAATGTGGTTGACTTTTCTTGATTTATCAAGATATTAGGTTGGCCAGATATCATGGAACAAGTTGATAAGGCACAATTTGGATTATAGATTATAAACACAAGGTAATATAAGACCAAATCCAAATAAATAAATAGTGTGTGACGTTTCGGTAACAGCGTTGTTACCATCTTCTCATTCAGTACTTTTGTCTGAAGCTGGTAACAACACTGTTACCGAAACGTCACACACTATTTATTTGGATTTGGTCTTATTACCTTGTGTTTATGGAACAAGTTAAATCAACGTTTAGTTGATTTTTGTTCCACTAGATGGCGCTCTGTTATCTAAAATGCTTATATAAATAGTCAGCATATGCCATTTTTGTTTTTAATATAACAAATTGTTACCTTATCATTTTTGGATTCAGCAATTTTGTAAGATGATGGTAACAACTCTGTTACCAAAACATTTCAATAATTTGGATTTGGTTTATTGTTACCTTTTGAATCATCCATGGATATATTTCTTGTATAAATGTTTAATATAATAACTGGGTGTGTATATTAATAGAGGTTTTATGGTTTCAATATTTGGAGGGGTAACTCGCCACTCTTTATCAAGGTTATGATAATGCACAATTTGGATTATAGATTATAAACTAAAGGTAATAAGACCAAATCCAAATAAATAGTGTGTGACGTTTCAGTAACAGTGTTGTTACCATCTTCAGACAAAAGTGCTGAATGATGATGGTAACAATGCTGTTAGGGAAACGTTACATTCATCACTTTTGTCTGAAGATGGTAACAATGCTGTTACTGAAACGTCACACACTATTTATTTGGTCTTATTACCTTGTGTTTATCAAGGTTGTTTGTGATTGAAACAAAACCCGTGTGTACAGGTGAGCTATACTTGATTTATAGAGTAAGAGAGAAACCACCTGATGTACATCTTCTATATATATAAAAATCAATGTTTGTATGTTTGTTTGTATGTCTGGTATACAAATTCGCAGTAGTTCACCAATTCAAACCAAAATTTCCATACATAGGTAAAAAAATACGGGGAAGACGCTAGGCTATTTTAAATCGGTCAGTGGAAGGCTGGTTAAACTGTTTGGTTTTCGACCACTAGGACCCGGGTTCGATTCCCGCATTGGGCACTTTTTTCTGTTTAAAGAAAAAAATGCTCCAATGGCCCCCGATTCTTGCAAAAGTCCAACCCCACCAGCGAGTGCAAGTAACCAAACGGGGCTCTGGCATTAGTAAGTGCAAAGTCGAACTGCTTTTCACATGTGTAGACATGTGGTGCACTTACAGTAAAAGCAGTCGCTAACTACCCACCATGATTATCATGGCCTGTGCCACGTGTACTAGGGATAAGCAAAAAATATATATATAAATCAATTATTAAAACTATATATTCAAATTATTCTATTTAGCTCACGAACAGCGCCCTCTATCAAAGATTAGATTAAATTATGCTGATAACAAATAATTATTTTAAAAAAATTATCTAAATATATATCACTCGGGTAGATATGCACACGGGTCAATCCCGGGGCGAAGCCCGGGTCACCCGTCTAGTTAGGTTATAAATACATCTGATAAAGAGAAGCCATTTGCTCTTTGAAATAATGGGACATTTCTATGAAATCCAATACCTCCATGAGAGTACAATCACTAGAAGACACCTCTCTACAATGGACAGTTGTCATTGTGCACCAAAATTACCATTTTACCAAATAGGAACTCTTCAATAAGAGGACAGCTCTCTCTAAAGGACACTTTGGCTTTACAACTAGGTGTTGTTGCTGTCCTTTACTGAGAAGTTCTAGTGTAAATTGCAGAAATTATATTTAAGGAAAATAATATGAATTGCTTTTCATATTCTAAATATTTTTTAACATCAAATATCAAGCTTTCAGACCTTGATACCACCTGTGGATATTAATCCACAACCAATAAAACTTTATCCCAATGTTAGTTGGTATCAATTAATTTTCTTATAGAAGACCTGGGAGACTTAAAAATCTATATTTATATACAGTTAAACCTGTCTATAGCGCCCCCTCTAAATAGCACCTTCCTCTCTATAGCGCCAGATTTTAAACATTAAAATGTAAACATTTTACATTAAAAGTGACCTGTCTATAGCACCCCCTCTCTATAGCACCCTATTTTGGTGAGTCCCAAGAGGGGGCGCTATAGACAGGTTTAACTATATAATAAACTTACGCCCCCGGATGAAGTTTTTCCCTAAATAATCACATAGGTTAAAAGGGATTACAATCTTTAAATTCTAAGTTTTTGGGTCTTGAATATTTTAATCATGGTAATAACAACATAAAATATCTCTTAGTCTTACAATAATAGTTAAGCTACAATTTGGATTATGGATTAGAAACTGAAAGTATTAAGATCAAATCCAAATATATAAATAGTGTGTGACATTTCGGTAGTAACATTGTTACTATCATCAGACTAAAGTACTGAATGACAATGTTGTTAACCATTGAAACATCACATTTTATTTATTTATTTGGATTTGATCTTATTACAGTGGACCCTCGGTTTGCGAGCATAATCCGTTCCAGAGCCATGCTCGTACTCCAAAACGCTCGTAGTGCGAAACTATTTTCTTATTTTTAATAATTGAAACTCGGGCAATTCTTCTTGCTACGAACAATTGCACAGTTTCCCACATTTTACATATTTCCCGAATCTGATCTGAAGGGAGGGATCCCAGTGAATTTTCATCCATCACGATTACGGGCAACCATCACGAGTTGCTCGTAATGTGAAATTTCACTCGTAATCCGAGGTAAAATTTTTCAAAAAATTTTGCTCGTACTGCGAAAAGCTCGTACTCCAAGGTGCTCGTAAACCGAGGGTCCACTGTACTTGCAGTTTATAATGTGGTTCAACTGCAAGTAACATTTGTTAAAAACAATATTCATTAAAAGTAAGCATTCAGTAGGATAGAGAATGATGAAAGAAGCTGGATCATTAGACAAGCCGAACAATAATCCTTACTTGAATTTATAAACATTTCAATACATAAATGCCAACATGTGGTGAAGAGAATGGGCTAGACTCACCTCTGTGGCAGGCTCCGCAGGTGATTGAGGTAGTTGGCCCTCTCCATCTTGTGGCCCCGGGCATCCTCAAACTCTAACCACACAACACATGTTCACCTCTCCCCTCAAAATAGACCCATAACTAAATGTCATTTATTGACCATCTTGGCAAACTAGAAGACAAAGCCAAAAACATAGACCTCCAATATGGAGACCATGGTGTGGGGCTCCGCACAAGTTACAGTTATGCTCTTTTACCCCACAGATCAACAGGACCTTTGGGAGAGGCTACTGCTTCTCATAAAACAGCATGAACTCATGGAATTTGTGTAATCTTTACACAAGGGGATAAGAAACAACAACCCCACAGTTCTCGCACTTAGTGTTGACATAGATTTTAGCATAGTTCTATAAATATGTGCTGAACTATAGTCAAAACTACATCTGAATTTGGCCAAGTAAACCTAGATATGGTACAATTTGGATTAGAGAACATAAGGTAACAAGACTATATCCATATAAATACAACTGTTTGTGACATTTTGGTAAAAAGATTGTGTTGTTGTTGTTTCTTATCCCCTCTTGCAAAAATTACACAAATTTCAAGGAAAATGAACTCATGGAATTTTTGCCACAAGAGGATAAGAAACAACACAATCTTGTTACCATAATGTCACAAATAGTTTATCTATTTGAATGGGGTATAATTTATCTAATGGGAGGTTTCAGCCCCACATAAACTGACTGGGCAGACTTAGCTAGCAGATATGGTAGGGAGTTGATGGGAAAACTTACTCTGGATTGCAGCGGCAGGTTCAAGTCTCAGTTTCTCTATGAGGTACCTGCACAGGAAGTGTGGATGAAATAATAGAGGTAATAAGCCACTAGATAGTATCAGATAGTAACAATTTAGAGCATATACACTCATGGACAGAACTCAATGGAAGTTGTATCTTTACAGCATGTATATCAGGATTCAACAATTACTCTGAGTGACCTTTATTGAAAACATATGAGATAACCAAGTGTCAACAGCCTCTCTGTCCAAAAAAAAAACAGATGACTGGCAACATCAAAGACTTTCTACTTCCTTTAGTTTTGTCCATGTGTGTACCTCTCTGTAGAGGACAACACCTAGTTCCAGAGCTAAAATGTCCTTTAGGGTGAGAGGGGTGTATTATTATTATTAATTATCTTTGGCAACAGTGTTCTTACCATCTTCAGACAAAAGAGCACTGAATGCACTATCTGTACTTTACTCTGAAGATGGTAACAATGCTGTTACTGAAACGTCACAAATTTATTCACTTGGATGTGGTCTTGTTGTTGCTTATTCCTCAAGTCGTTTAAACAATCTCCATTAAGTTCTGTGAACAGCCTCTCTGTCCAAAAAAAAAAAAAACAGATGACTGGCAACATCAAAGACTTTCCACTTCCTTTTGTTTTGTCCATGTGTGTACCTTTCTGTAGAGGACAACACCTAGTTCCAGAGCTAAAATGTCCTTTAGGGAGAGAGGGGTGTACTATTATTATTGATTATCTTTGGAAACAGTGTTCTTACCATCTTCAGACAAAAGAGCACTGAATGCACTATCTGTACTTTACTCTGAAGATGGTAACAATGCTGTTACTGAAACGTCACAAATTTATTCACTTGGATGTGGTCTTGTTGTTGCTTATTCCTCAAGTCGTTTAAACAATCTCCATTAAGTTCTGTGAACAGCCTCTCTGTCCAAAAAAAAAAAAAGACAGATGACTGGCAACATCAAAGACTTTCTACTTCCTTTTGTTTTGTCCATGTGTGTACCTTTCTATAGAGGACAACACCTAGTTCCAGAGCTAAAATGTCCTTTAGGGTGAGAGGGGTGTCCTATTATTATTGATTATCTTTGGTAACAGTATTGTTACCATCTTCAGACAAAAGAGCACTGGATGTACTATCTGTACTTTACTCTGAAGATGGTAACAATGCTGTTACTGAAACGTCACAAATTTATTCACTTGGATGTGGTCTTGTTGTTGCTTATTCCTCAAGTCGTTTAAACAATCTCCATTAAGTTCTGTGAACAGCCTCTCTGTCCAAAAAAAAAAAAAAACAGATGACTGGCAACATCAAAGACTTTCTACTTCCTTTAGTTTTGTCCATGTGTGTACCTTTCTGTAGAGGACAACACCTAGTTCCAGAGCTAAAATGTCCTTTAAGGTGAGAGGGGTGTCCTATTATTATTGATTATCTTTGGTAACAATGCTGTTACTGAAACATCACAAATTTATTCACTTGGATGTGGTCTTGTTGTTGTTAGTGTCCAATAAGTTGACTTTTGTGGACAGCTATTCCCCAATTTGATTTGTTGGTCACCATCACTCACACAGCTCATTTAATTGTGGTCTTGTTACATATGTATTACATACTACCTGGGACACAGGTGTACTAACCTACACACCAGATAACCAGTCCTGTTCAGTCCGTGGGTGCAGTGGACTCCAATAAGTCCTGAACACCATCAATAGTAAGTCATCCCTGCTGGGTGGTGTCTGGAAATACCTACCTGTGGAATTGGAGGCAAAGAACTTCTCAACCACATTCTGGAACCTATACAACAGAGACAGTTATGTACAATTTGGATTAAAGATCAGAAACACAAAGTAATGTTTCTGTAACAATGCTGTTACCAAAATATCACACACTATTTATTTATTTGGTCTTGAGAGGTTAGTTGGATGTCAGGACAGTTGGCTTACAAGATGGGAGTTGTTGTTGTGGAAGTAACACTACTTCCATTTGATGGGTAAACACCACCTTTGGTTACATTGAGTTAATCCCACACCACCTGCAGGAGAGACTAAATGGATCCATTTCTTTTGGGGTGGTCTCTCATGGGAGGTTGGTGTTCAACAGAATATTGAATCTACCTTATCCTTGAAAGGACCCATTTATTTTTTGAAACTATATATATATATTATATAATCAAAAAACTCAAATATTTCTATATTTTAAAATATATATATTTTAATTTATTCATTGATAATTTTACTTTTGTTATCATCGTTTTTAGAAAGACTTTCAGTTTTGTTGTATAGTT